TTTCTCTGCGCTCTGAACTTTCGCGTCAGGACGCCCTACCCTAGGTTCTAGTTGTCACGTAACCCTTGCTTGGTGTCGTGCGCAATTTCTCGCCCTGACCCAGCTAATTTAGCGTGAGAGTATTACTTCATGCTGAATCAAATATAATAGGACACGGAACGCTGAATAAAGTGTGACCCGAATGTAAAGACTTCCCCTCGTTGCTGCACAATCTATGCCGAATGATGGGCTGCAACAAATGGCCCCTAATCCATGATCTATTCTCGACCAGGTCAGGGGAGCCCCCGCATTCCTAGGGGTCAGAACTGTGCAAGGCTATTTTGTCCAAATGGACGGTTTCGCTGCAAAGTCCATAAGCTCTCCCCTAGAACCACTGTACATATCGAATATTCAAATGCTATGACTTAGGAAGAAGAAGAATGGGCGGCACAAATTCAACAAATTCATATGAGATCTGTCGGCCTGCGGCTATTTATTGCTTTCTTTGGCAACGATTTGGGAGATTATTCGGGGCAGTTTGGCTTGTTGGGGGTACTTTGCTATTCCCAATTCGATGGCAGGACGTGTAATTCAACGAGAACTAGCAAAATGAACTAGCGAAAATGCAAAATGCTCCCCTACCCCCTGAGCCCGAAGTTCGCCGATTATTCGATCAGTTCAGTGAGGTGATATTCAGGGTAAATGAAAGTTTTACTCACTTGTAAATTCAGAACACATAGCACAAGGAGAGGAAGAACGAACTGCGACAGCAATGTTGCGATATTTTGGTACCATAACATGAACAAAGCACTGTCTCGAAGCAGAGGCTGCACAATTGCTTCTAGCGTCTCTAAAATGGAGTATATGGGTTCCACTGTATTCTTTGACTTTTATGTAAGGCTTGCTCAAAGCAAATGAAGAGTGGCGAACACTTTCAATTAGCCCATTCTCATGGTCCGCATGACAGCAGTCTTTTACAGGGTATAGCATCGTGATGTGTGAATTGGTAGTGTATCTACGACCCCCCACAATCCGAGAGAGGATGTGAAAACGACTCCCCCTCACCTATATATAGGTAATACA